GAGGAACCACGATCGTTTTGTGTTTTGCCACCCAAACCATCCCACGAAGTTATCGACCGTTCAAGCGAAGTGGATGTGATACTACAAAAGATGAAAGAGTTGAGAAGCACAAAAATAAATGAAATAACTGTTGTTTATCTGTCTGGGAATCCTGGCTGTGGCAAAAGTGAAATAGCAAGACAGATAGGTGAGAAGGTTTTCGATGATGTTCCCGATGACGCCACAGATCAAGTAAAGTTTGTGTTCGCCCTAAACGCATCCAGTACAGATACATTAATACAATCATATATTGAATTTGCAATTACTTTAAACTGCGATGAAAAATCTACTACGAGTATTGGAACATCAAATGATCTTTCTCCGGAAGACAAACTTATTCATCTTAAAAGTCTTGTAGCTCCCAAACTGCGAAAGTATTCTTCATGGCTCTTGATYGTGGATAACGTCACAGACGTTAAATCAGTCTTCAGATTCTTACCAAAAGCGGGAGAGAAGACGGAGGGCACTGGTCAAATACTTTTTACCACACAAGACAGTCGATCCATTGGTGTCAATGATTCGTACACTTACCATTTATCCCTTAGTCGCGGTATGAAACCTGATGAAGCGGTAAAAACACTTTCTGAAATATCGGACGCTGCTTCAAATATAGAATGCATTTTACCAGTCGCGAAGGCTCTAGATTTCCAGCCACTAGCACTAGCGTGTGCAGCAACTTACATGAAGCGTGTAAGTGATGTAACGTCAATGTCATGGGAAGAATATTTACAGAAGATTCAACAAGGCAAGMGAGAAGCGACTGAAGGGGAATATGAAAGAATTAGTGTAACTTACGCTCAACCGATGACTGCAGCAGTCAAGTTGGCCTTAGAAAAAGAAATGGCTGCAGACATGGTTATGATGCATGCTTTTCAGTTCTTGTCTGCGTTAGGCCCTGAGCGGATACCCTTGGAATATGTCGTACAATATGTAACACGGTGCATGGCAGATCAAGACGAAGATCATGTAGCCGCTACTGTCTTTTCATCTTCACTTATTCTTAATTATTCCGAAGACCAGTCAAACGACATTGTCATACATCAAGTTGTACATAGCTGTCTACAAGATATTGTTCTACACAAGAACAAAAAAGAGGAATTTCATTTCTTGGTAAACGTTATTAATGCTTTTTCAGCACTTTTAAGCGCCTTTGATGAGGAAAACGTCAATCACATTAAAACAACAAAATTTGTAGTAGTGCATTTTATGCACTTCTCAAAACACTTAACCAATTTTACAACGGAATCTTTATMTCCGATAAAACAGGAAACGAATTTTGAACAAAAACACAATGAGTTACGCTACTTCTCAGCCGCGGGAGACGTCTGCCGAACCCACGCTAAGTATGAAGCTGCGAAAACATTGTTTAAAACAGTACTAATGATCAAAGAATTTTATCATCATTGTAATCATCCAACACTTGCTCCTACATTGACTAGTCTTGGATCGAACCTCTTTAGTCTGGGCAAGCATGAAGAAGCGCAGAAATATCTCGAGAGAGCGTTCATCTTGACTAGTCAAGAGAAGGCGTATGATAAAGATCTTCCAACAGTTGCTACTTCATTGAATAATCTAGGAACGAACCTCAGTCATCTGAGCAAGCATGAAGAAGCGCAGAAAGTTCTCAAGAGAGCATTGGCTATTCAAGATGTGGCGTACGGTCAAAATCATCCAAAACTTGCTACTACATTGAATAATTTAGGATCGGACCTCCGTACACTGGGCAAACATGCAGAAGCGCAGAAACGTATCGAGAGAGCATTGACTATTCAAGAGATGGCGTATGATCAAAATCATCCAGCACTTGCTCCTACATTGAATAATCTAGGATTGAACCTCATTGATCTGGGCAAGCATGAAGAAGCGAAAAAATTTCTCGAGAGAGCATTGACTATTCTAGAGATGGCGTATGATCAAAATCATCCAGCACTTGCTMCTACATTGAATAATCTAGGATCGAACCTCCATGAACTAGGCAAGCCTGAAGAAGCACATAATTATTTCAAGAGAGCATTGACTATTCAAGAAATGGCATATGATCAAACTAATCCGACACTTGCCATTACATTGAATAATTTAGGATCGAACCTCATTGAACTGGACAAGCATGAAGAAGCGCAGAAACGTCTCGAAAGAGCATTGACTATTCAAGAGAGGGCGTACGGGCAAAATCATCCAGACCTTGCTACTACATTGACTAATTTAGGATCGAACCTCATTGGTCTGGGCAAGCATGAAAAAGCACAGGAACTTCTCGAAAGAGCATTGACTATTGCTGAGAAGTCGTTCGGTCAAAATCATTTAAAACTTGCTTCTATATTGAATAATGTAGGATCGAACCTCATGTTTCTGGGCAAGCACGAAGAAGCGCAGAAACGTCTCGAAAGAGCATTGACTATTCAAGAGATGGCGTATGGTCAAAATCATCCACAACTTGCTACTACATTGAATCATCTAGGATTGAACCTCCATCGTCTGAGCAAGGATGAAGACGCGCTGAAATGTTACGAGAGAGCATTGACTATTGCTGAGAAGCCATCCGGTCAAAATCATCCAATGCTTACTCGTATATTGTATAGTCTAGGAATGCACCTCCGTAAACTGGGCAAGCATGAAGAAGCGCAGAAATATCTCGAGAGATTATTGACTATTCAAGAGATGTCGTATGGTCAAAATCATCCAACACTTGCTACTATGTTGATTACTCAAGGATCGAACCTCCGTGATCTGGGTAAGCATGAAGAAGCGCAGAAATGTCTCGAAAGAGCATTGACTATTCAAGAGATGGCGTACGGTCAAAATCATCCAAAACTTGCTACTACATTGATTCATCTAGCATTAATGCTCAGTGTTCTCGGCAAGGATGAAGAAGCGCAGAATTGTTTCGACAGAGCTTCGACTATTCAAGAGATGGCGTATGACCAAAATCATCCAACACTTGCGCTACACTGAATAATCTAGGAAGCGAACATCATGGGTCTGGGCTATTAAAGAGATTGCACAATATCAAAATCATTGATAACTTGCTGATTCATGCATTGAATGATCCTCTGATTCATAGATCTAGTAAGAGTAAACCTATTCTCGAATACAGCATTTTGAGGTTTATTTGTTACCAAGAAACTATAAACAATCCGAATGACAYTCATGGTTCCACAGATTCATAGATCTAGTAAGAGTAAACTCATACTCGAATCACCCCAGCATCAAAGTTTATTCGTTACCAAGAAACTATAAAGAATTAAAATAAAGCTTGATTCCTCTGATTCATTGATCTAGTAACAGTAAACTCAAATCACCTTATTTGACGAAAATCATGTCATTAACGAAGCCAAGTCCGTTGCTGAATGTTTTAATGAATATTTTGCAAGACACCAAAGATCTCACGATCGATGATATGGACACTCACTCTAGTGTTTTATTAATACGTCCCACAGGCAGCACTTAAATGAATTTTTCTTTACTACCGTCGATACAGAATATGTAAAAAAACACCCTGTAACATTCAAATCCGAGGAAATCTGTTGGAATGGATGGCATATCGTCGCGCCTACTACGATTGTCCGCCCCAAGTATTACAGGCGAGGTTACTAAGCTTATAAATCACTTAATAATTACTTATTCTCTGCCCAGAGAGTGGAAGAGCAGCAACATTACACCAATACACGAAAAAGGAAGCAAAACCGATGAAACCAACTATAGACCCTGTCTCCATCTTAACCACGTTGTCCAAAGTGTTTGAGAAAGTTATATATGATCAGATATATAATGCAATGTCTCCTCTGCTGTCTCAAAACCTATCTGGATATATGAAGGGACATTCGTACTCTACGGCTATTCTAAAAATGACTAAAGACTGGCGTGCCCATTTAAACCTAAAAGAAACTGTCGTGACTGTTGCAGTGGATCTAAGCAAAGCATTTGACAGTGTCAACCATAATCTTCTTTTGCCTAAATTACAAGCATACGGACTTTCAACCACGCTATAAAGCTTCTTCACGAATATCTAAAAAATCGTCGTCAGAGGGTGAAAATAGATGGCACATACTCAGACTGGAGTCCAGTTACAGCCTCTGTTCGGTCCATTACTGTTTAATATCTACATGAATGACATCAATTACTGTATCCAATATCTCTTTAAGATTGTATGCTGACGATACCACCAGTTGTGCTTCAGACGCCTCCTCATTAGCGCTTCAATTCATAGTCAACAATGATTTGTCAGCTTTATCTACATGGCTGGAGCAAAATTWCCTGTCCATCAATAATACCAAGACGCAGGCGATGTACCTTGGTCCATCAACATATAAATACGATTCCCAAGTCAATGGCAACGATGTCGTAAAAATCGAACCAACTTTAAGAATTCTTGGCGTCACATTGGATAAAAGGCTTACCTTTAAGGAGCATATCACAGAGCAGCTCAAGAAAGTTTATGCAAAGACATCTGCCTTAAAACTCACGCTTTGTATCCGTGAGCACAATGACTCTATTATACAAATCATTTATAGTTCCACACTTAGAATATTGTAGCATAATACTTATTGGTCTTGGGAAAGTTCAGGACAACAGACTCGAAGATGCTAATTATTATGTTTTAAGAACACTTTTTTCAAATTATGAACGAAAGCTATGAAAGTCTGTAAAAGTTAGTACGTATGAACACTTTAAAACATCGTAGGTATTATCAGGCATTGATCTTGATATAAAATGCATTAACTCTATTGGTCCACACTATATTAAGGATTTTCTAAATCTAAGAGAAATTAGTTACAATTTAAGGGGGAAGAGAAGTAATCTGGCTCAACCTCATTTCATCTCTGAATGGATGCATAAGCCGTTCTCCTATATTAGTTATAAGTTGTAGAATAAGCTACCTATTGAGGTCAGAAACTGTGGGAGTCTACAAGAATTCAAGAGGGCTTTAAGAAAATTAAAATTCTTTGAATCGTTATATTAGGCATAGATTTGTAAAATATCTACTTAAGTTTTTCTCATTATTATTTGATTAGTAGTTACAATTCATAACATTTCTTT